CACTCAAGTGTGAGGTACCCACCTTTCAGGTATTTAATTATTTCTAATTTGCTTCAAGTGGATTAAAACAGTTTTATCCAATGATATTAATATCTCTAGATACGCAATACATACCCAAAAAGTGAAGCTACTAAAACTAAGACGTTTGTCTTAGTTTTTTCGTTTTTCATTTCAATACTCATTCAACTCCCGCCGAGAAAGTACAAAAAAATGCTCCGCAATAAAGAAGAAAAACAGTGGATAAATTTTGATTCTCTTTCACAAATACACATAATACGAAAGAATATTAAGTTTCACACTTAAGTCATTAACATTTTTGGCAATAAAAACAAAATTGAAGGTAGTTTATAAAATAAAAATATTTAATTTTCACAAATAAAATTTTGACATTTTATCGTCAGTGTTGCCATTGCTATTCACTTTCAATTTTCCCCACAATATAGGAGCCTTTTCTTTTTATTTAACGTGGCTATAATTTATCTAAATATCTTCTTTTAATTAATTATATGGTTCAGATTTAGTATAGGCAAGTGTGCAACTTATGTTGATATTTATTTCATACACGCACACAGATGCTAAAGTGGTTTAATTTTTTAAAGTTAATTTAATTTTTTCAAGGCGTGGAATTCGTTAGTTGTCGAGATTCAACTTTTGAAAATACGTAAAATTGAACCTCTGTTTGATCTTTTGTTAACTTTAACAAATGTTTTTCTCTTAAACATTGACTTTAACAAAGGGATTTATATGCACAGAGCCTACTTTCGTGATTTTTTTTTTTCAAATAAATTTTCAAAGTTACAGTATTTTTTCTAATTGATTTTATACATATATCTATATTACTTGTTCATTCATTCATTCACCATAATGGGTGAATTTTCGAGAGCTGGCAATACAATATCAATTACCCATTGTTTCCGTTCATTCTGTCGTTCGCACATATTTTGTCTTTGTTTAATTTAAGGTGTAATCGTAGATATGAGAGAGACAAATATAATAAACCTATTTATATTATATAGTTTAAATATAATTTGCAAAGCTACGTCCGCAATCACAATAGTTTTCAAAACTCAATAAACAACTCATATTCTATTTGTGTTTTTTCATATTTGTATTGATATCTAAGTTTCGAATTTTTCAAATTTCATTTTTTTAATATGTTAGTTAATAGGAACGGAAATGACTGTCTTTGGTCCATTCGTTTACTGTAAAAATCAACTTTTGCTAGAGTCGCCATCTAGTGGAGGTGCTTGTTTACTGCTTTCTTTTTTTATTCCGGTCAACGACGTGCTTAATAAGTTTTAAATTATTTTAAGGTTTTCATCAAAACCCCAAATTAAAATTTTGATTATCTAGAGTTTAATATAGACTACATAACGATTCACATAATCTATTTGTTGATCTCCGAACGCCACTAAACTGACTACTGCTACTAAAATGACCTACAGCTGTATGGTATTTTGTTTATTTTTTAAGCTGTTTGGATACTTCCAAATAGGCATGTAGATTCGATTAAAAAAAATCCCTGATTCGATTCGAAACGAACATACTAGAATCGATTTTCGAATTAATAGAGCATTGAAATATCAATTTTCTATTAATTGCGAATTTTTCAATCAATCATGCCTTATACAGACACAGAGCATTATTGATGTTAATTTACTGTTAATACAAGTAATGAAGGAATTGTAGGAGACCAATCAGGCAGTCTGTCTGTAGTCTAATCCACAAAAGTTATTCATAAAAAATAAATTAATGAAATTTTAAATTTATAAAATTTTATTAAAGTTAAATCAAAATTCAGTGTAGTCGAGTAAGTCGAGAGACTTAAGCTCGGGATCGAGACGACTCCTTCGTCTCTAGCTATATTTTCTGCTACAGTAAAAAGCCTTTCACATGGAACAGATGTTTCAACTATGCAAAAGTATTTGTTAGAAATCGGCGCTATCGAGCTATACAAGGAATTTTTTAGTGATACCAATATGTGATAGGCCCCGCCGACGTTTTGAAATCGAGCACAGGCTGTGTTAAATAATGTTTTCGCAACAAAAAGATAAATCATGAAACAAAACTATGAAAAAGTTCAAAATGGCCTTTCATGAAAACCTTTACATATACCAAGATGTGCCGCGAAAGTCCGAAAATAGAGAAATTCATTTTATATTGCTAGTTCTTGAATTCAATTTAATCGGTCCGATTCGAAGGGTTGCTGCTGCATCGATTTTTGAACGATGCAGCATTCCAAATCGATTATTTTACTTTAAATAGTCAATTTATTGATTAATCGCTTTAAGATCGACAAGCCTACTTCCAAAGCCGTAAAACCACAGACCATAGACATAAAAGAAGAGGACCGGCCATACCTACGAAAAAAGCGTATATGCCTAAACTTGAAATGCAAATTCTTCGATAGCGGACTGTCATAGGGCGCGACCCATGATATCGATATTTGTATCGACATTGAAGTCATATTAAATAAAAGTTAGTATTTCCTGAAACTGCTACAAAACAACTACTTATTAAATAAAGTAATATAATTTCCATTGTTAGGAGCATGGCTAAACTATTACCTATTATACTTCTATTCGTTTCACACTTACGTACCAATCCTGTTTATGATTATTAATTATTAAATAGATAAATTCACGTCAGTTTAAAAAAATAATATTTTGTGAAAAGTGGCGTTAATTTATCAATTATTTATAAATCTTTAAGCAATCTTTTGCTCGTGTTTTGTTGGTCATCTAAAAGTCTCATTGTTCTTGCGACTCCGTTGCGTCAGTATAGTAATTATAACCTATGTTACCAGCGTATGATGGCGCTTCCCACCGGTAAAAGATTATTCGTATTCCAAATTTCATCAAAATCCGTTCAGTAGTTTTTGCATGAGAGAAACCAACATCCATCCTCACAAACTTTCACATTTATACTATATAAACATTATTTTATAATATGATTGTACCTCGATAAATATGTTTCTTTTTCCTCTAATATAGACAATTTTATGTAGTTTTAAGAACTATAGTACCAAAATATGTATCTTAAAAGTTTAACAATAATATCAATCGTGTTTTATAATTATTTCCATATATATTACAAAGTTGATATTTTGCAACTATAATTAAATAGTTTTTTTAACATAAGTTTAATTTTGCATCCACGGGAAGTGTGACCACTGTCCAAGATAACTGCCACGGTAACTATAATAAGCTTTAAATGAGTCGATTGACGAATGAATTATTATGTTTTTTTTTGTCTGTTATATATTTTTTATTGTTATAGTGGAAAGTGACATTTTGGTGCAATGAAGTCATTTTTTATTTTTCAGTACGAAATTAAACAGGGTGCAAAAGCAGCACTTGCAGTTTCTTACCGGTTCCCCTTCTTCTTTTCTCAGTACAAGGTTTCTCGTAATAGATTTACAAACTATAAGCACAGAGTTTCGACTTTCTTATAGGCTTGTAACTAGTAAGCCAACTTGTCTATACATTTATTCAATAAATTGTATTGACTGAATAAATTTCGCTTACTCCTCATTAAGTGAGATACCGTGCGTACTGTGTCACAATTTTAGTTCAGAGCATCTTGTTTAGTAGTAAACATAGAAAACTTGAAACACCTACATAATCTTTGTATTATATTATTTGTAAAAGAAACTTTAATGAATAAACAAGAGAAAATAAAGAAAACAAAATGAAAAAGTAGATGAAAAAGTGATATAATTTATTAAAAAAGTAACAATTGGCATTTTATTTAAAAATTTGGCTAGCAAAAAGAAAACAGCCGATAAATCAATGGGCAAGCATACAAATATTTTCTCAGCACTAAAACTGTCTGCAATTCATGTTCTGTGAACAATCATGATAACGGTCAGCAATTTAAATACAAAAAGGTAGCGTATTTTATGATGCATCAGCAAAATAAACAGCAACGCCGCAAAATAATTATTTGGGTATTAAGATTATACTATTGAACAGCAAAGAAAACCTTAAAATGTTTATTAAAATTATTTAACTCATTTTATTGTAATTTTACTGTGAGTATATTATGATCAGAATTTTATATTTTAATATTATTATATATTGCATTCTGATTTTTTCAATTAAAATAGCTGTCATATGACCGTAAGACTAAAAATAAGGTACATTTATAGAATAACAAAATGACTATATAAAAAACTAAATAAATAAATCAGTAAAGTCAAATGAAAATTAACTAAGTGCAATAGACAAAAAAATTGTAAAATTAAGTTAAAAGCAATTTTCAAAAATTCTTACCAGCGTCTTTGATTGGCAATGCATCATCTCGTAATTTTATTATATTTAAAGTTCGATCCAAACAACTTTCCCTAAAATGAAGTGAGCAGATAAAAGTAAATTTTTCATTATATTTAATATTTTCTGCTCCAATGGAACTCGGCCATATTCCTCTTTTTGTTTCATCTTTTGGTAATCTAAAATAATGAATATATTTTTAAATAATAAAATTATCGATATAAACCAAATGTTAAAGTAACAACACTAGCCATGTAAACAACATTATTAACGGACCGAAATATTATAAAAATATAAACGAAAAGAGCAATATAACATAAATAGAATACGCCAAAATACGATATGTATCGATTTATACACGCAATCATTTTCAGAATAACTTACTTACGTTTTAAATACTGTTTTTCTAAGAAAGTGTTTAACTTACCGGTGAAACGTAATATTGCTCGGTTTGCGGGATATCGATGACGCACAATCAATTACACTGCACCTAGGCATTGTTTTGCATCAATAATTTACAATTTTCTGCCATGAAAGTTATATAAATTAAAGTTATAAATGAAAATAACTACAAAACTTATAACACTGACAGCTGAACTACTTCCGAGAATACGCACTGCAAATTTGCAAATGGCGGACAGGTGGTACGATAGCTATATGTCATGACGTCACTTAAAAAATTTTGAACTGTCACACTAGTGCGATCTTTGTTTACTAGAAAACTTTTTATTAGTTAAAAAAAGACAACATGATGTTTTCAATGTCAACTTCAGATTGCATGATATTTATATAATCATAGAAAATATTTCCACTCTACTTATCTCTATGCCACAGACTAAGAAGACGTATCGTAAAACTATGAATGAAAAAATCTATGGAAAAAATAAACTGACATTGACATTGGAAATCTTAACTTCTTTTCGTTTACTTTACTCGTCGTTGATTTATCTTCTCATCAAAATAAAAATCGTAAAAATCTAGAAATACTTACTGTGATTTAAATAAATTTGTAGTTTTAAAACGAAAAAGTACAGAAATTGTGCTTCACCTAACAAAGATATATTTTTAAATAACAAACGTTGACTTCTAATCACTACGCAGTAAATTCATTAAAATTTTGAGGAAACATGGTTTGTGTGCCTTGTTTTATTATTCCGGTGCTGTTGTTTTTGTGGCACAAGTTTATTCAGCCCTATGTTCTACGATTCTGGAATCCATGGGCAGTGAAAGATGCTGACGGGAATGTCAAAACAGAATTTCCTTTTAAATGCGAAGGAGGCGTCTGTACATTTAGTAAAGGAGCAAGTAATAAAGATAAGCAATGTGAACAATCTCAAAAACTTTCCAATGAAACCAACGTTGCATCAGACAGTCGATTGAAAGCAGATTGATCAGATGGATCAGTATACATGTATAGCACTAATTCAATAACAAATAAATTAATAGTTCATAATAATTGGTTATGGAAAAATTTTACCCTTAAATTATTATAAATAAATGTATATTTAAAGTCTCATTTTGTTTATACTACCCGAAATATTAGAAAGGAAATGGCGAAGAAAAAATAAATCTTTGGTAAAATGTGTTTATGATACAGCCTAACACTACACAACCTAAACTAAAATATTAATTTATGTGAGCCTACTTCTACAATTAGTGTTTTAACTTAGCAAACATTTATGGGAGGTTTGGAGCCTCTACAAACAAACTTAACACAATAGGTATTTGTACACATGAGTATGAACAATATGTGATTGACAATGGATTAATTAGAGTTCAACTAATGATCATTAGTGATTTTTCTCAATACTTCAGATTGGTTATCCTAGTACACAAAAACAAGCCTATTTATTACAGAAATATAAAAATCTATTTCTGTGTTCTTTACCCTAGGCATGTATCATCAACTATCAAATCAAATATAAAAAATGTTCTGAAGTTGTGCCATAGAAATTTTATATTTCTGTGGGCTGTGCTATGTCAAGACACATTTGTAGCCCTTGTACATTTTCCTTTATAACAATGACACATACCTACCTTCTCCTTTTCGATTTTGAAGGCACTGATGTTTTAGGAGGATGGTGCTGCTATATAAACAGACAGCAATGAAGCATACTTTTTATACAAAAACACAATAAAATATAGAAGTAAACTTTATTTTTTATAGTTTATCACATTGATAGAAATAAGTATGTATCATAAGTAGCTATAGTAAACAATGTTAATTTTGTAATCTGATATTAATCAATAGAATTTAATATTAGCCATTATTACTGGATATTCAGTGGGACCACTTGTATTCTTAAAATAAAATAATCAAATATAAAAATATACTGTAAGGAAAAAATCGCAAGCTTACAAATATTTTATCTAATATTACAATGAAATAAAATTGAGTGAATAAAACCATAGCTTAAAAATATAATGGAAAATATGGACTAAACAAATTGAAAATGAGCTACAAGTTAATAAAATTTGTACCAAATATTATTTGCATGTCAAGGACTAATTCTACAAAAATGCTTAGTAGTAAGCGATTGCATATACTAGTGAATTTTCACCATCATCATAATTATAGAACAGACGAGAGAGAACCAAGGTCACACGGTGACAAAAATTTACCAGTGTACAAATGCTATATAAATGTGTACAAATTTTAATGCAATTATGAAAAACGAATCTTAAAACTATGTTAGAAAATAAAACTGGTAGTTGCTATGATAAGTTAGTCATTTTGAACAACTTATGACTTTGCGCATTTATAATGAAGAACATTAATTAATTAAGAATTACAGTAGATTTTAATATTCTAAGTCTACTACTTTATTTTCTATGACTATACTGAAATGAAGTCTCTCAAGATGATGATTTTAAAAATTATTATCTATTTACATGGGACAGGTATCATTAAATTCTAAGTGCTTATAATAATAACATTGACAGTTATAACGGAACGTTGAACATTAACCATACATTCGTCCCAATAAAAAGAAAACAACAAGCTGCATATTTTATAAACTAGTCATGATGATGTGTCGAAATAATGCAACCGTATGAATATATAACAAAGCAAAATAAGAATCATTGTTACGAAATTCGTCACTCTTATCAACACTACTTTATACCGAAAACTAACAGTAACAGCAAATATGGCTTGCTTGGAGTGCCAATTCATGTGAAACACTAATTCAAAACAAGAACAAATATGAATGCAATAATCCACATTTTAAATAACTGAAGTTTACAAGAACAGTTGAACCGTGAAATTAGATATTATTAACTCAAATGGCAATCTTTCAACAACAATCAACAGCTGTCCACATTCACTCCTTACATATTATAAACTTAACCTTCTATTTAACATTTTTCAGTTCCACTTCAAATACTAATGTTGAGTTAGGTGGGATGACCGGTGGAGACCCTTTCGCTCCATACCTGCAAAAATAGCGTGTCATCAATAAACATAGAAGTAATGGGGAACTTGGAGAAACCATGAAAAATTACGTTTACCATTGCCGAATTCATTAACAAAAGACTTAACTTTACACATAACATAGGACGGAAAGGGAAAATATTACCTATTTTTTTAATTTTGTAGGCATATAAATAATTCTCTAGAATTGTTAAGATGATTTTTAAAAGTTTTCAGTAAGGCAAACTTATACTAAAATCATAATCACCAGCCTATTAATATTGGGGACAGCTGGGGTCCAGGCCCTCCCTTTGAATGAAAAATAGATTGATTAGGGGGAATGGGCCATAACCCACCACGCAGGTCTAGTGAGGATTGGTGGGTATTAACAACTGCATATGCAACTAGGACCTTGAGATAATAATTTTTTGTTCACCCATCCTATGGCCATTGTGAAATAATCGTATCACAGATCGAAAGCACTGACCACTGCGCCATCGAGAGCCTAAAAGCATACTTTGGTAAAATGATGTTTAATTATACAAAAATCACATACGCCATTGCCGGTGGGCAGATAATTTTCCTCTTGCCTCCAACCTTCATACCGCTGACACCCACATCCCAACCGGAGATAACCTCCTTAGCTCCCAGTTTGAACTTGAACCCGGGTCCTTTTAGGCAGTTGTCAAACATCTTGTTGTTCTGTTTCAGCCTTCCTTCATAGTAGACCTGTTATTATATTCATAGATATAAGTAATGACCATTACAAAAATAGTTCAACTATGATTAAATATTCTAGTTAATCTAATGTATTCAATAACTACAACACCGTGATAGCCTATAATTATGAAAATCTGTGTAATTCAAACAAACAAATATTATTTGTAATTTAAGATTTTAGATTTTGCAGACCTAAAAGAATCTGTAATAATTGCTACCTAAAAGATCTGTTCTTGGCTTTTAAGATTATAATAATTCTGGGCTGACAATACCAGTTAGACAAACAATAACTTTGATTACAGTAGACATAACTTACCATAACAACTTTACCAGGTTTCGCAACAGGTCCATTTCCGACCTTTAAGTCTTCTATGAACACTCCTCCACTGAGAGACTTCTTTTCCTTCTTTTCAGTATGTCCATCTTGAGCTTCTTTCTTAGCTTCAGGTTTCTTTTTCTCAGCCTTCTGTTCAGGTTTGTCTTTCTAAACCATAAACAGTTATACTTAGCATCAAAAATTTATAACTTGTTACCTACACATTTCCCAAATACAATTATATTAGGGGTCAGCTTAAGCAACTTTCTCAAGGGCCAGCATGCGACGGGGGACCATAAATCATTAATACATACAGTCTTGTCTTTTTTTCCAGCAACCTTAAGCAACTAGGGTACCAACTACAAATTCAGCAACAATCTACATTAACCCAGTTTTGTAGCTCATTTTATGGACCATTCTTCATGTGTTTCATTTCACGAGCATGCCCATGCCCCAGTAATGGAGACATGTATAGGCTGATGATGATATAACACAAGACATAATTAAAGCTATTGTAAAAAATCATAACTGCTCTAACCTTTGCCTTGTCGACGCCGTTCACCTGCTTTGGTGATTTTTCTTGCTGCTTTGGTGACTTTTCTTGCTGCTTTTGTAGTTTCTTTTTGAGTCTGCGGCGTTGTGCCTTGCTGAGTTTGCTCATATCAGGCATCGCCTCTTCCTGGCTGGTGTCAAGGGTTGTGTCCGCCTGGTCTGACTTATCCTCATCGTCTTCCTCTTCCTCTTCAGCTTCATCATCGTCTGATTCTTCCTCATCACTAAAATTAAGTATATCACAAAATAATAAAATAGAAAGATGTCATATATATTATAGGTAATTTTATCTCAATATTTGAAATAAATATATTGTCTAAGTAATGTATTATTTGGAAAAACTATTCCAGTTATTGTGATCTGCTGATCTATTTTTCATTTATATATTTTTAATGAAAGTACCTCAAGACCATCAGCTTTTAGATTAAAAACAAAGAATTTAAAAAATAGATCAAGATGTTTTAGAGAAATTTATAAAATACCAATCTGTTAACTATAGGTATAATATTCTAATATACTTTTTATGAAACATGAAAGTTTATTAATCATAATCAATTTCATTGATCATGTTTACCTGTCGCTTGCATCAGCAGATGTGTTCACATTGAAGGAGTCATCATTTTCATCAGTGTCAATGTCTTCTCCGTCCAAGAACTTTTGAAGCTGATCTTTCCCATCTTCATCATCATCAGAATCTGAGCTATCTTCAGTAGCCTTTTTCTTATCAGACTTTTCTTTCTGTGAATAGATGTAATAGTATTCAAATGTTTTTTAAGTAGTGCAGTTATAATATAATTGTGTATATTATTTAATAGGGATGCCAAACTTTTTTTATGGTGCTGATATTTCAATTGTGATTTCAATGAAATGTAATATCTTTTTGAGTATTTTTTCTTTGGACTTTAAATATCTAGGAAATAAACATAAAATTTCATTTGCAAAAAGACAGAAATATACCCACTTACAACAGTCATTAGGCTTTGCAGAGGAATGACAATGACAAAAATACTATTCTATTTATTATTATTAATATAACATGTTATTTCAGTGCCAAGACCTTTAAATTACAGTCCCAGACAGATCTTCTACAATGTTGCATATACACCCAAAAATTCAATTTTAAATTATTAAACAAATTATTTATATTACCTTAGCCTTCTTGGCTGTTGCATTATTGGTGTTTTCAAGCTTTCTCTTGTTCTTGGCAGGCACCAGGGCTGGAGCCTCCTCCTCCTCTTCTTCTTGACTATCTTCTTCATCAGAGACTTCTTCCTCAAATTCAGGGTCCAAGTAACCAGTCAAATGGACATTGCATTTTCCTAGAAATAGTTTGACTTGAAATTTCACTATTTCATTTTAAACCTTGACCCACCATTTGATTTTATTAGTTAAAGTATATTACTCAACAGTCATACATCGGTTGCTCCAGGGCTAACAGAGATACAAAAATGGTATATTTTGAATTACCAATGTATTATCAAGAGAAGGAATCTTAGTAAATAAATAGGTACATGTGCTAAGGGAAATGTCAAAGAAGCAAAATCTTAAAATTAAATTAGCATATACCTACAGTAATGTTTTATTACACACAGAAATACTAACCATTAGTCAAAAAAGCTATAGAATCTCCTGCTTTAAAATATAAATCCAAAGGTACTTGAATAGTTTTGTTCTTTTGGAGAGTGCAGACAAGGAAGTTTTTCCCATCAACCACAACCATAACCTGGCATGGGTCATTATCTCCAGTTGATATGTCCATTGCAGCTTGAGAGATGTGAAACGGTTTCTCCACCACTTGGGTGTAGCGTTTGTTTGGCTCCATTATAAGACCTGCAAAGTATTTAAATGTTAAATATTGTAGGAACACAATTTATTAATTCAATTTTCCCAAAGCAGTTCGTCATTGCATAAAAACGTGGATTTTGAATTTCAGTGGCGCCAACAATTCTGTTATCTTTTCAAAAATAGAAACATTGTATTCATAAAGTGCAATCTTCAACTGTCGCATCGAGCAGATACATTCATAGTTTTATAGCGGTTTCATTAATTTCTGTAAGAAACTGTCTGAAGCAAATATGCTCTGGACTCATTCTTAACTTTCTTACAGAAAAAACCTAATGAAATGATGACCAAACACGTGGTGTCAATTTGCCGGTAAATCTACTCACCCCAAAACATTTTGATGACCGTTGGTTTACAATAACGTATTTAAATCCACAAACTTGCGTGAGTATAAATTCAATTTATTTCGTTTAAACTAATGAACATGCGGTTCTTACATGGACGAAGTAAAATAAAATAACCAAACCGACACGATGACAAAAGAACTCAGCATGCATGGCATCCAAAGACTACAGTGTACAGTGTATAAACTCGTAGAGTATTATTGTTCTGTGGTATAAACGGCATCAAATCCCTGTCGTAAAACGAATGATGCATATCGATATATCGACACCTTAAAATTTATAAATAAATCGATATCGAAGAATAAACGATATCGATATAGAAAAAATCAACATATCCAGTTATATCGAATGAAATTAGGATTTATAGGAGTAAATGTATTTTAGTTGTTCAAAATTTTAACAACCAGCAACATTTTCACATGTGATATTACATAAACACGTGTCATATTATTTTGCAACCATGCCTGCCAAAAATTAGTTCTTAAAATCAAACAAGATGGCGCTACGGTACTTTCTTGATTTCTCCATGACAACCTTTCCGGTTTTCTTACAAATTTTAAAGTAAATTAGTTTTCAAAACTCAATAAACAATTCATATTCTATTTGTACTTTTTCGTATTGTATTGAACTTTGAAATTTCAGTTTTTTAATATGTTAGTTAAAATGAACGGAAATTACTGTCTTTGGTCTATTCGTTTCCTGCAAAAATTAAATTTTGCTAGAGTCGCCATCTAGTGGAGGTGCTTTTTTAGTGCTTTCATTTTTTTTAAATACTTTCTCATTTGTAGTATTTTTATTAGTACAATTTGTATTTAATTTCATAATAAAGTGTTATTCTCAATCTAATTCAATATATTTGAAGTGGCAATAGGACGTTTTCTCATTTATGCCTTCTGAAAGCAGCATGCAAAGAATATCAAATTCAAGCAATGCGTTGCCTACCCTAAACTTTACGTTACAAAATGAGATATCGTATGAGCGCAATGAGCCCAAATATTTGGGGGTAATTTTTTTACTCATCGTCGTCATGCTAAGCGTGCAAGAGCCAACATTACACGAACTAGGAATAGGCTTAGGCTTACAGAAATAACTAACTGTTACTTTAGGTTTTGCGGTGTATAATCTGGGTTGAGATTTTATTTGACCAATTATTGGATCCGAGGTTGATGGTATTTTTCAACCTTCATCTCTTTTAAAAATTATTAACATTTAATCACCGATTTAAGTAACTTTCAGGGAACGCATCTTTTGCTTTAAATAGTTTTGTTGTAAATAGGTACTCAAATACATATAAAACACCCAGACCGATACAAACCTATATGTTCATTCATACGGCTTAATAATCGAGAACACTAACCACTACACCAAGATAGTTTTCTATTATTGTTCAAGTTTTTGGTAAAAAAATGTAATAGTACTCTACTCTATGAATGTGTTGTCTTAGAACAACGAATATTTTGGCCTTATGTTTTTAAATGACTACCATATTGCCGCGTGGCTTGGGTCGGAAACAAAACTCGGTTATTTTATTGAAGATACTTTGATTATGAATTATTGACATTGTAAAATCACATTTATAACCCGAAAATATGATATTTTAACAGATACATTTTTATTCCGATAGTTATTTTTGCAGTTTTAATACGCACAGTAACATCGTACTACGTCCGAACGTTGGCGATGTCGCAAACAAACTAAATCAAAATAAGACCGCACTTTGAAGTTAGGCGTTACATCTTCGGCCGTCTTTGAGACTCTGAGTGGACATTTATATAGTTGTTGTTATAGTTGTATTCCTTTCCATTTGACGTTTGAAAGATGCTCACGAACATTACAATACAACTATTCGACATTTGATGCGATTGCGATTACAATGCTTTTTTTGAAAGGCATGTGTGGCGACATGGTGGTGACTGATACATAGCGACATCTACTTCATCGCACTAATATCGCCACAACAATCGATAGCGTGAAGACTGGCATCGTCACAGCAATCGATAGCAAGACGAACTGCAACAAGTTTCAACACCCAGTATTGAGATGGCACTGTACCAATAGAAACATTATAAATTAAGATACTAGTGGTGGTAGTCAGCCAACAAGGCACGATATTCGACCTCCGTAGACCATAGTATAGTTTTTAATTGATAACGTCTGTCGATTTCTGGTGTCATTAAATTGAAATATTAATGTATATTCTTGTCGGTTGAGATAAAACGAATTAAATATTGTTTTTATTCTCTCGAAATGTGTTTTTCTTAACATGGTAGCAGAGCGGAAAATAATTACATAAATATGCGTTGAAGATTTATGGCAAAGAGGTAAGATATATAGTTACTAAAAGTCCGGGAAGATGAAAATATAGTTTTTCGCCGTGTCGAGAGGAAAAACAAAAGCGGTTGAAAGTCAAAGTGCTGTAAGAAAATTGAAAAAGACATGGAAGGAAAAGATGAATTTCGTCTGCAAATATTTGATGGAACAAATTACGATAAGTGGAAATTTAGATTAAAATTATTTTTGGAAATGAAAAACTGCTTATTAGCCATAACAGAAGAAACAAAAAGAGAAGGTATGTCAGAAGCAGATTGGCGAAAAATGGATCTAAAGGCGAAAAATTATATTGTGAATAGCGTGAACAACACCCAATTAGATATTATAATAACAGAGGATACAGCATTTGGGATGGTTAAAAAATTGGACGAGACATATGTTATGAAAGGGAGTGCAAATAAATTACTGATTAAAAGAAAAATTCTCGAAACAAAATTAAAAGACGGTGACAACCCGATTGACATTTTGCAAATTTTCGAAAAACAAATTAACGAACTGAAGGCAGCTGGAGAAAAATTATCAGAAGAAGATAGACTAAATTATTTATTATTGGCATTGCCAGAGAGCTGCTCTCATATATTTAATATTATTGATGCCATGCCGATCCAAGAAAAGACAGTTGAATATGTGAAATCAAAAATAATGCTTGATTGGAAAAAGAAAAGAAATATTGAGGCACCACTTTCGTTTGCGAGTACTTCTACACAAATAGCGAATAAACAAGAAATTCAAATAATTGTTTTGAGTGTCATCAACCAGGACATTTCAAAAGAGACTGCCCAAAGTTACCTAATCATGGTAATTACAGAGGAAGATGTTACCGAGGCAGACGCAGAGGGTATAGAGGTAGAGGTAACATCAATTATTCTTCCAACGCCAATTCATCGGATGCTGTTGGATTTAATGTTGAAGTAGAGGCTTTAACATCGTCTGTTGGAGATGCTAACGTAACATGGCTTATTGACAGCGGATGCAGCGACCATGTTGCCAAGGATGACAAGCTATTTAGTGAGTTGAGAAAATTAAATAGTCCCATTAATATTAAGGTAGGTGACGGTTTTTGCCTCAAAGCAGAAAATATTGGTAAAATTGTAATGTTTTGTAAGGCGGCAGGAAATTTAAACAAAATTGAGATTGATAATGTTTATCATGTTCCAAATATGAAACGTAACTTGTTAAGCGTTTCAAGTATTGTAAACAAACACAATATGATTAAGTTTCACAATAACACTGCAGAAATTTATACAGCTCAGAATAGGCTAGTTGCTGTTGGTAAGAAAATGGGTAAATTATATGAATTATACGGTAATATTAGTTGTGATAACACAGCATATTACACAAGTGATAGACTCATGTCAGAAAAAGAGAAATGGCATCGTACGTTAGGTCACGTAAATTTTTACAAATTAAAAGACATGTGTAGGCACAAATTATTAGATGGTTTGCCAGAAAATTTAGAGGAAGGTTTTGTACAATGTGAAATTTCTTTACAAAATAAAATGTCAAATTTGCCATTCGAGAATAATAGACGTCGAGCGACCGAAATACTAGAAATAATTCATACAGATGTAAATGGGCCAATTACACCTATTGGATACAATGGTCAACGATATTTTGTTTCATTCATTGATGATTATAGTAGACTTGCATATGTTTCTGTTATTAAAAATAAAAGTGATGTATTTGAGTGTTTTAGAACATATGTAAGAACAATGCATACTCAAATAGGGAAAAGAGTGAAGGAAATACGATGCGACAATGGACGTGAGTACTTAAATAATGATTTTTACAACTTTGCGAAGCAGGAAGGAATATATTTAAAACCTGGTCCAGCATACACACACCAACTCAATGGAGTAGCTGAAAGATTTAATAGGACAGTTATGGACAGAGCTAGGTGCTTATTGGCTGAAGCCAAAGTAGATAAAAAATATTGGCCAGAATGTGTGCTTACTGCAACATATCTATGCAACAGAATTTTGAAAATACATTTGAAAAGAAAAGTCCTTACGAAATATTTTATAAAAGGAAACCGGATGTTAAAAATTTAAGAATTTATGGATGCAAATGTTTTGTAAGAATCCCAGAAGAAGTTCGAACATCAAAGTTTAATCCAAAGGGTGTCAAAGGAATATTGGTAGGATATACTGATACAGGGTACCGAATTTTAGTAAATGATAAGATAGTTATATCACGACATGTAAAGTTTATAGAAACAGAAGGAATCGACACTAATAAGGAAAATAAAATAAGTGAAAAATAGTAATTTCGTATAGTGTTAATTATTTAAGTAGATTTCAGAATTGTTATGATAATACTCATTTCAAATATGCCTTGAGAGTCTTGAAATACTTATATAATAGTAGTCAAATGGTACTTAATTATAATTCGAAATATGATGATTACTTAGATGCTTATGTTGATGCGGATTGGGCTGCAGACAAAATTGACAGAAAGTCAACGACAGGTATTGTGTTAAGAGCATTTAACAATCCAATTTTATGGAAAACACACAAACAGAAGATTGTTTCAAGGGCTTCAACTCACGCGGAATATTATGCGTTAGCAGATTGCGTTACGAAGATTTTGCCAGTAATAGGAGTTTTAGCTGATTTAGATGTTAAAATAACAAAGCCAGTCAAAATCTATGAAGACAATAGCGGTGCCATATCTCTATCAAAAAAAGGGAAATTCTGTAAAAATTCTAAACATATCGACGTAAGTTTTCATTTTGTAAATGATTACGAGAAAAAAAAAGGTTATTTCTGTAAATAAAATAGACGGTAATGATCAACTTGCAGATATATGTACTAAGGCATTAGGGAAATGTAAATTTAATAAATTTAGGTATTTATTAAATATTTATTGGTTGTTGGAAATTGAATAATAGATTATTTTTTTATAAAACTCAAGGAGGTGTGTTAAAATAAGGTTCGTTTCATAAAAAAGTTAAGTCTATGGTTTTGACATTTTTTCTTGTTATATTCTGGTCTTGTGTCGGTTGAGATAAAACGAATTAAATATTATTTTTATTCTCTCGAAATGTGTTTTTCTTAACAATTCTTAATATATTAAAACGTAGGTGTTTCATAGAAACTGCTTTTTAATCTCCATCTAACAACTATTCTAATCTAACGGCATTTAGAACAAAGAAACCTACATCGCTCACAAGAAGTTTCATTACCAATTAGCATAAAAAGAACGTCCAACCTACATCGGTTATACCGCGGTCCCCGGGCTACACACCACCTAGCTCGGAGGGAGACAATAGGCATGAGGACAATTTTTGTTTATTTGCCCGTCTGGTAGATTGTTGAAAGATATTAAACACGTATTTTTTTATTTTATTCGTAATCATTAAATAACGGCGATACATTGGGTTAAAATGACGCGTGATGTCACGTCTTCGTACATTTTCTACAAAACTGTGACGTAACGACCCCCACTCCTCAACTTTAATGCCTGTTATCTAAGCCACTTCTTGTGAAATTGAAGTAAAAAAAATCCTATCTAATATTTTTCTATTATCTGACTGGCGGACTAAATAGAATATCTTGTTTTTTACCCAGGCGGCATCCCTATTATCCTTTAGTCTTCCTTACCAGTTGTCTTTATCATTTAGTGGGACAACGTAATGGTTCCTACATATGTATTAAATAGTTAATGCCACGTTAATTAGAATTGTCTAAGGCGAGTGTTAGAGGCAAATATTACCTTAAGTTTTAGTTATTGAGTTTTTTACTAAGTTTTTTGATCATTAAAATCATCATTCCTTCAAAAAGCGACTTTAAAAATCACACATTTCTTTGAGAGAGATTAAGAATGATTTTAAAATTGGCCCCTTTTTCCTATTTCATGTAAAGATGGTTCCTGCTTTTGCTGAGAAAAGGTGTTCAGAGGGCGTACTACATTGGGGAAGTGTCTCATTGTAACTGTAAAAAGATAAGCATTGGATTAATACCTATTTGCACAAATTATATTAATAAAAAACTATTCCAAATGGTAATATTTATTAAATTTGCATTCACAATGCTATGCTGTAAAGTATTCTTAATGAAAAATACAATAAAATTTACTTTGTCTCTGGCACTCTGAGATGGGTTTCGAACCCATGACTACTGCAAGAGTGCCAGGAACAAAGTGGATATTAAAACGTTTTTCATTATGATTACAAATTACAAAGCAAAATGACAAGTGACATGTGAAGATCAAACATTGGATGTTCTAATTTAAACAACTGATATAGATTTCCTCTTTGGATTTCATTTGATGATAGGGTTTGTTATGTTGTATGTTCGATATCAATAACGCTGTTTCTTCGATATCAATTTGTGTCGATATTTTTCGTAATGATATATCGATATACATCGATTTTCCGATATATGGTTGCATCCCTACTTTTAATGGCTTTCTTATTACTGTACTCTTTGCTTTTCTTTTTGTCAATTGTCAAAAGACGAGGACATTGTTTCAGCCATGGTAAATTGCATATTTTACATAAAAATCTCTTTACATCTTCGTAATCATATGTAGTAATCACGTTTAGCAACTTAAAATATGAGTTCTAATGATATGTTGCAGTGCTGTTAGTATATTTATTTATTGTCGTTTAATTTTTACAGGGTCGTGTCAGGACAAAAACCGTCAAGAAAGCGGCAAAAATCATTATTGAGAAATACTATACAAGGCTAACTCTTGATTTTGATACCAACAAGAGAATATGTGAGGAAATTGCAATTATTCCAACCAAACCACTACGAAACAAAATTGCTGGGTGAGTAACTTAACCTCCTTTTCTCATCAGAAGTTTTTACTTTGTTTGAAAGATGTTTACGATATATTTAACAGGTTAGCAGCCTCTTCGGTTGAAATTTCTTGTTAACATAGCAAAACACGTATAACTTATAGTGAGAGGTTACTATAGTTGTTATTGTTTATATTGTAATATATTTATAAGTAAATTTTATACTCTTGGGCCATTCGAAGAGAAATTTGATACTTAATTAGTTAGTTAGATTAGAAAATATTCACATTAAAAATGCTAAAATTAGGTATTGTTCATATGTAAGAGGGTCTATAAAAATTAATTATAAGCATGAATTCTTTACTGAAGATTGTAATTATTTTCAGATTTGCCACTCATTTGATGAGACGTCTCCGGCACTCTCAAGTGCGTGGAATTTCCATAAAACTGCAGGAGGAGGAACGTGAGCGACGTGATAACTATGTCCCAGAAGTATCTGCTCTTGAACATGATATCATTGAAGTTGACCCAGACACTAAGGACATGTTGAAAATGCTTGACTTCAATAACATCAATGGCCTGCAGTTGACACAGCCTGCCACTCAAGGTGGATATGGTGGCAGACGTAATTAATAAACGTTAAGTAATAACATGTAATTGGTTTCATTCATCATTTAGTTATAGATAGTTTTTATTGTTGACTATGAATAGGTGGCAATCACATGGAATATTGTATTAACCCTTTCACAGCCAATACAATTTTCTCATTGTATTTTATTCATTAGTTAGGATTCTATTTGACATTATGATACAAATTGAGATTGAAAAAATATATAAATTCAGTGGTATTTTTCAGGGTGCTAAAATACTCGCCAATAACTTTCAAGGTTCTTTCAGGTTGACAAAATACCTGCTAGTGTCAACTTAGTAATTATGATTATTGTTAATACCCTATAAGGGGACAATTAGGTAAATATATGTGTTAAAAAACAGGTTTATGGCAATTTTTTATTTAGGATAAATAAAAATTGTTATGAAATCAGCACACAATTGTTGATTCAGCAATTGTCAATAAAAGTTGATCAATATCTACGAATTATATATTGCAGATGACTGGTGTGAGGAAGTGGTGATACTTGTTTTAAAATGTTCATCATTTGAATCTCAAAGATATTTTGTTACAGTTAAACTGTATCTGAAAAGGAATGTAATGACAGGCATTGGCAAGATCAAATATCTATAGATATATTAATATCTAGTAAATATATAAAAATGACATAATTTAGAACAAAGCCTAAGCTTATATAAACATACTAACACTAACGTTTATCATGGCGATTTTGAGAATATTTGATGATTTCTCGAATAAATACGGTACTTTGTTGCTGTGGTCACTTGGTGGGCGAAGTCAAATCAGTCATTTTTTCAGTCTAGGCTGCTACAAAGTACTTGTGAAAGTCAAAAAAATCAAAACCGCTTTGTAACGTACTATAGAATGGGTTCTTTTTTTATTTATGGCCTATTTGCGTTTACACAACTCTGCCAAGGGTTGTAAATGGTTTTATTTGGATTAATTCCGCCATTTGCTATTTTAAAATTTAGTCTTTGTTTTTACACCAAACGAGCGAATGCTCATTCTATACCTATAATTTTTTTAAACTCTAAGTGTAAATAAACAGTATTAGAGCATCGGCTCGTTGTTCTATTTGCGTTTGCAAAGATTCTATGGAACATTCTAAGAATTTTACTTGGTATAAACGGCACTAGAGCGTGCGAACAGACAGTTGTTTAGATAGTGTTCTTGCGAGTTCGGACTGCTCGCTCATCGGAACGGTATCTTCAAAGCATTTTCGTGTTCTAGCGATTAAAGTATGCACGTACATATTATATAGCTATCGATTAGATGAGCATTGGTTTGATCTAAATGTTGTGCAGAATTCCAGTTCTTTGTTTGAGAATCTTGTTCGATGATATTCTTTTGGTGTAAACACTTAACGAATTTTCGTTTACATTAGAAGAACAAGAAAGAACGCTCTTGTTCTTGTTCTTGCTCTAGCTCTTTGTTCGTTTAGTAAATGCACCTTTATGTGAATCAGTAGCCGGTCACCATGATTATGACGTCATTCGGTTAGTGAACAAACATGAAAAATAAGATTTAAGCAAGATAAATATGTTTAGAGGTTATTTTAATAATTTAATGAAGAAATAAATAAAAAGTCTTTTTTAGTAAAATAATACCATAGAACAGGGTTTTGTAAAGGGAAATCGCACGAATTTACCAATACCACCTATCGTCGCAAAGTTTTTACTGCAAATCTCGATTTTTGTTCTGCGGTATTTTGGATTATTTAAACATTAATCTAAGTACTGTCTTCGAACAAATATTTGAGTACCTATGATAAAAAGTGCATGAAAACGCCAGGCGCGCGATGACGGCGTCAACTAGCGGTGACAATGACGCCGTACTTTGTAATGTCCAGAGATGTGACTTATCTTAGATACAAGTATTTGAAATACAGATACAAGATACAAAATACGTATTTTCATCTTGTATCTAAAATACTTTTTTTAGGAAGTATTTTGTATCTTGTATCTAAATACTTTTGTTTAGTATCTTAGTATCTTTTAAATACTTTTTCTGATAAAATACTTTATAAAAAGATTATTTCTTACATTTTATAAATATCACAAAACATTCTTTGCCTAAAACATATTTACAAAAAGAAAGTGTTCAATTATCAACGCAATGAATATTTAGTTAAAAATAACTCGAATCCAAACATTGTTTGGTGTCATTTAAAAAGTAAATGCGTAGAACTGAACGTACGGTTATACCGGTTTAATACACCCTCCCTAGTAAAAATTGATAGATGGCGCATAGGGCTTGAAATCGAATAACCAGTTACAAGCAATAAAAAATCTTGATTTATGTAAAAACCCGGTTATATGCTATAAATAAAACTCAGTATATCAATTAAACTCATTATTAAATTTTATTATTTTTTTGCACATTATACTTTTTCCACTAACAACAACATTCAAAAAGTTTATTTTAAAGAAATTTCACTGTGAAATTAGATACATGGCAAATGCTTGAAATTCTATTCCGTGAGCAAAGCAATATTGCTTTTATTGACTCAACAGTTAATCTTTTTCTATCTTTTGACCACTGCATATTCATGAGCGAAAAAAAAATAAATATTCGCATTATGAGGCATAATACAAAAAAATACTGAAAAATCTTCAGTAGTTCGGAAACGAGTGCTGTCATTGCATATATTGAAAATAATTACCCACTGCTTTTCAACTAATTTCTTTGATATCGTCAATTAATACTCCTTTATTTTTCAAAAATATAACACAATCTGTGATGTAATCGTATAGTAAATTTTGCTTTAATAAGTAACCATTTAATTCAAGGGATCTTTATTGAGAAACAACAAAAAATGGGCGGAGTCCTGTCTTAATATTAGGTCTTTACCTATGTATGTAATTGCCGTTCTGCTGTACTAGCCATTTAAAATCAAACTATTTTTTTTGGCTGATAATTCTAATATTAAATTATTTTTTCTAAAATCGTCATTTGTTCAATAGTAAGTGTTTTGTTTTCAATGCATTTGAATATTTTTCGTCGTCATGGATAAGTTAAAAATTCAAGTAATTATGGAGTATGTGTGCCATCGTGGCAGCAAAGCGGCACGCAACATTACAACGTTTGCAGAGCGAACACTACAAACGAACGCACCACCCGTTATTGAGGGGCATTATTTTCGGTAGTTCTGCAAAAAAGTTAATATACGTTTCGTTACATACTATCGCACATTCACCTCGTCACAAGTCACGCCATTAATTTTAAAAACCAAGTACTGTATTTATTTTTACCCACTCTCTTCATCTCACTAGGAAAAAATGAATTTTCAGTTCTCCGTAATTTTACGTCGTACGTAAAACCAGCTTTTTTAATAAATAATAATTTTATAATTAAATTTAAATAATTATTCTTGTTGTTATATTTCAGCAATTTTTCATTCACAATGCTATATTGAAAAAATAATTATTAAAAAGGAACTAAAAAATTTAAAATAATTTAAACTTGATATATTAAATATTTGCATTTTTATATGTTACATTGTGATTGACAAACAAATAAAACGGAGGAAAAGTGGGTGAAATTTAGCTTGTAAGATTTGAGTACAAACACAGAAAACTAAATAAAAGCTTACAAAAATTGTTTCTAATGAAAAATGCTTAAAAAATCCACTTTGTCCCTGGTCCCATCTGGTCCAAGATTTAGGTTCTTGTGGTGTATAATAAACAAACTTAAATTCAAGTCTTTTTTTTAGAAAAGTATTTGTATTTGTAAAAAGTATCTATAAGATACCTATTTTGTATCTAGTATTTCAAATACTTTTCTCGAAAGTATTTCGTATCTGGTATCTGAAATACTTAATTTAAAAGTATTTTGTATCTTGTATTTCAGATACTTTGTACAGGGTATTTTGTACATCTCTGGTAATGTCAAACAGCTGGCGATCAATATGAAGACTATGTAAACAAACAATAATTTCAATGAAACATCGTAATTCACTCAGTTTCTATTCGTTCCAGTAAATCTATAGTGTCATTAATAACTTCGAAATTTTTTATAAAACCTAGGTTCTGAACACACAACATCGCTATCCAACCACAAACAAAAATAAAAGTAAATAAGTGGTTTTGGCAAACTTGTTGAAGATTTAAGAACATTAATGTGGTAAACTCATTTCATCTTTTTAATTGTTACAGAATAAAACACTTATCTTAGTATTTATACTATCATTGTTGTGTTTTGTTGCGGATTCACCTGTTCTTATTCGTCGCTTTATGCAAACCGGCAAAATATTGCTGCTGTAAAATGGCAGGCGTTATTATCTGGCGGTGACTATATAAAAATATTATCGGGGATAACAGACAATCTCTTCTTAAGAATTTATAAACGTTTGTATGAACATACATTATTTCCTCTTTAAAATAAATTGGTATTTGATAATTTGGTGTTTAATTATCTGCAAGAAATACGAGAAGAAGACTCAATTTATATCTGAGAATATAGACATGTGTTTAAAATAAATTAAAATAAAACTGCATTATGAAATTTCTGTTTAAATTTTATTCTTGGAATCATTAAGGTAATCTACAAAATAATTCCAAATAACATACAGGGCTTGGCTTATGTATTAGAAAATATTGAGGACTGCAAATTTCCTAATACATAGTAAATATACAAAATATAAACTTTATACTTTATAATATACAAAATTGAAACTTCTTGCAGTTCGTATTGCTATCGATTGCTGAGACGATGCTTGTTTTCTCGCTATCGGTTATTGTTGTGATGTTAGTGCCGTGAATTAGATATCGTTACGTATCAGTCGCTACATTAACAATACGGCAAATCAAGTTTTGAGGAATTTTATTTAATATTCTTAGTCGTTGCATTATCCTCTTTATTACGCAGCTTGTTTCGTAACGCATGTTTAATTTAATTTTTATATTATATAATTTTTCTAGTGTTAAGATGTAATTTTATGATACTGACTGAATAAAATATTTCTATTTTTTTGGTGTTTTTTTTTCATGGTTTATTAGGACTTTAGGACTGAACTGATACTTTTCAAAAATAGGTATAATACCCTATTATACAGATTTAAAAAAAAAATCGGTGACATAAGAGTCTGCATAATCTACAACTACAATAAAATATCAGTCTAGATTGATTATTTTTGAATAACGGTAACGACGGATGCACCAAACCGGTTTAGGAACCCAAAGGTTGGAGGTTGGTGTTCCTATTGTGGCGATGGAGACAACTGGCCAGGGAGACTACAGGATAATTGTCTCCCTCCGAGCTAGGTGTTGTTAGCCCGGGGACCGCGGTCCAACCGATTTTTTTTTTTTTTTTTTTTTGAAAGTGTGTTACTGTTGGCCTCAGATGGCCTTTACAGTGTAACCGGACTAAGGGACGGCGAGATCCTGAGGACCTCAAGCCGAGATGACGATCGTCTTTGAGACTATCTACTAGGAGGGCATCACCCCACGGGGAGGGTGTCTCCACTCCGTCGTAGAATCGCCCTGGACTCTCGTTTCGGACGCTGGGGGTCGGGATAATTGGAGGGCGCCTCTAAAGGCTCGGACCTCGGCTCTAATTATCCCGTGTCGTGGAGGTCCAACCGATGTAGGTTGGACGTTCTATTTATGTTAATTGGTGATGAAACTTATTTTGTGCGATGAAGGTTTCTGTGTTCTAAATGTCTTGTAGTTATTAATTTATGCTGCTTGTATTGGTACAGCGCCATCTCGTTACTTGCTGTAGAAACTTATTGCAGTTCGTCTTGCTATCGATGGCTGTAACGATGCTAGTCTTCTCGTTATCGATTGTTGTGGCGATGTTACTGCGATGAATTAGATGTCGCTATGTATCAGTCGCCACAGTACTTTCCCCCTAGACCGAAGGTCGATCCATGTTGATAGTAGGTGGTATGCAGTCAGTGCTTCAGAGCTTGCAAGTGCCATGGTTGTGACGTCGGGACCGAAGCTGCTGGTGTGCAGGGCTGCCACGCCGGTGAGTTGTGTGTGAACTGAGGTCCGGTCGTGGGCTGCGAGGACCAGGTCGGAGTGATGCCGTCGTGTGGTGCCAAGAATCCAGGAAGCGCCATTGATGCTGCTGTGATGGACCTTGGTGTTGGCTGGCTTGCTGCTGAAGTGGCTGTGCTGATGAGGGATGAAAAGCTGATGATGGAGGGTGAGAGGCTGTTGATGAAGAGTGATGGCTGCGTTGTGATGCTGAAGGTTGCTGATGTTCTGCTGGGGTCACCACTTTAGGAACCGTATGATTGAATATGTGGTCCCTACTGTGGTGATGGAGACAACTGGTCAGGGAGACTAATGAAATATATAAACCCTTTACAGTTTTATTAATAAACAAGGTTTAGATACTCTGGTTTAGCGTTTGAATAAATTTATGTTGCGACCGCACTTAATATTAGTCAAAATTTATATTATTAAACAGAAACTTAGCAAAGGTTAGCCTAGTAAGAGGTAGAACCCGGAGTAATATTTACCCCGAGAAGGTAGTAGGTTTGCTTATTCTCTGTATAATATGAATTTGGATTAATACTAACATTGCAATTCTAGCGTAAATTTACTTTGACACTAGACCTTATGTATTAATAGCGCTACTGATCCTATTTTTATAAGTTAACTCGATACTATTCTTATTATTTCCGTTCGGCTTATTGTTTATGGCTCGACTCGTTTTCCTGCAAAATTATAATTTAATACATCCCTGCGCTCTTTTTTTACTAAGATTTGTAAAAATATGAATATAGTCTTATTTTAGTAAAAATGGCTTAAGGAGTCTGGAAGATTATCATTTCTGCGATGGGTCTATGTCCTGCCATATAAGTATACCTACATGAAAGATAAAAAATCCAATCACATTGAATATTACCGCTTTATATATTGGAACACAAAAATTGTATTATAATTAGCTTCATTCAGCATATTTATTTATATTTCATCTATTTTACTCAAAAGGAAATCTTTGCTTGGCTCGCTCATTTTGGTTTTGGCATAGAGTAAGAAACTTTTTTTTTGGCTTTATTCAGTAGTGTCCAAAGAGAATTTAAACACATAAGTACGTTTTGTGTCAGACTCAGATGAGTGCTAGCTTATCGTAGCCACTTTGAGCCGACTAAGCGGAATTTGATTTATTTCATTGCTCAAATGAATTAAATTAGGTCCACAACTTACTAGAAATTATATTTAACGTGTATTATGAATCATGGAATGTTCACATTTGTTTGATAACGTCAAAGCGGATAACAATTCCATCGCAGAGGACATCGTGATCACAAAGAACTTCAGTTGTTCAGGTAAATAAAAAATATTATTTTTTTATTATTATGTACTTCATAGAGGGTTTATCTACAGGAAATGCTTGATTATGAAGTAAGCTGAGTTTGCATCATTAGGTTAGTTTATGAAAATCAATACAGTGAACTCTAATAATCAGCTGTTCAAGGGGTGCGGAGAGGGGAGGTAGCATAGATGACCGTGACTGATGTTGCGTTTATTTCGTGTTCCTGACGTGACGCGGAACGATAATACGAGCCCATGAGCCACATGACAGGCCTCGCCTATTTTAGATTACCTACCATATAACAAAATATTGCGTATATACTGTGTGTGACTATATGGTCTGTATAATATACCTATAACCGTATCTCACATGCTCAATATACGCAGTTCTCGATACATTATTTGAATAAATTATCTACTTGATATACACTAAGACTATATCTTGTTATTGCCTATTTATTTTTATGGTTTTATTCCAGTCATATATAAAGTCCTTTATAACAGACTAGTAAATTCTAGCACATCCTAGTGATAAACATTCTAGTTATAAACATATTTGACACACAGACTGATATGTTTTAATTATGTCAATATTGAAGCTCCATTTCCAGCTAATATTTTTCAGAATGTGGTGTCAAAGACCAAAATTGGCTATGCCTACAATGTGGAGTAGTGAATTGTGGCCGCTATTTGAATGGACATGCAAAACTACATGCAGAGACAGAAGATCATCATATTTGTATGAGTTGTGATGTTTATTCAGTTTACTGGTAAGTAAATCATGTATTTTTATTATTTTAGCTTTTCTCAAATGAATATAATTGTTATATAATGTATAAAGTGTGTTGTGAATGAAATAAATATGAAATAAATTCGTACATTTAGTTTTTTACTAAATAAACCATTATTATATTTATTATTCCCATGACTTCATCTTCATGAATTACACCTTAAGTCACCTGCATATTCTATCCTATGTTTTACCAAATCAGCTCTGCAATACTGTGAAAATCCAAACCCAATTTCAAATTCACTCAGGTGTCCGAATTCACATCATTGAGAGTAGAAATCCTATTGATTCTATTTTTCATATAAAAATACAAAACAAAATTGATTGAATATCACATATATTCAATCAACTTTGTTATAATCTCAGATAACCGATTCAAGGTTGAGCAAATGCTGTTTTTGTAGTGAATTTGGAGACCTGAGTGAATTCGAATTCGTGTTCGGATTTCTACAGAATCACAGGGCAGTCCAGTAGTTTTGGGAGTCTCTTCTATGCAAGCAACAATTGAATCTTTCCTCTTTATAATATTATTATGTATTAATGTATAAAGTAAATGAATTTTATTATAATGTAACTCACATTGATAATCCCCTATTAAATTTGCAGCTACAAATGTGATGATTATGTTTCAAATGACACTGAAAATGAAACCATAAGCAAAGTAAGGCAAAGCATTATGCAAAGAGTAAATAATGGTGATGATGAAAATGGTAACAGTGGAATAGAGCAGAGTGATGAGAACAGTAAAGAGGGTAGTGATGCTATTAACATTTCTACAGCAAAATGCTCTAAAATGGATGCAAATGAAAATAAGGTACCAATGTCATATACAATTCCAGCAGACATATCAACTGCAGACATCGCTTCCGAGAGCAATTATGGCAATGCATCTAATGTAAATTTGACTCAAGAGTATAGTGAAAGCAAGCCTGTAAAAATTATAAAGGTAAATTAACATAACAAGACAGTTTATTTTAACACAATATATTTATGTACATATAACATTTTTCTTATTATGGTTACAGAATTTGGAAGAACCCATTAGAAGTTTAAGACCTCGTTCACGTAAGAGGTCTCACTCGGAAGACAGTGGTTTAGCTGAAAACAATACAACTTCATCTAGGAATAAGAAAATGTCACCATGCAATGGAAAGAGTCAAAGAGAAAAGAAAATTCTAGGATTAAAAAATTTAGGAAATACATGTTTCATGAATGCTGTCTTGCAAAGTTTGAACAATATACAAGAGTTTAGTTGTTACTTTAGTCAGCTGCCATCGTTAGAGACGAAGACTGATGGCCGGAAAGTTTACCATTCAAGAAGTTATACTAGACAAGAAATGCAAGATGTAGTTATGGCTGAGGAACTAAGAAAGGTAATACTTTTTTCAACAATATAGGGTAAAGTATAGGAGAACTGCATGGTAACTCTCGAACGCAATTATGATTGATTGTAATTGCAATTGTGCCATTTAATACTCTTGATTGCACACTAGCACCAGAGTTCTTTTACTATATAAATAAATGTTGATAAAGCTAACTTACTTTCAGTAGTTGACCTTGAAAATGTTTTTATTTAATTATAAAAGTTCATATTAATTAATGATGTGATGGTCTAGAACAGCTACTCCCTAACAGTTCTAGCTGGTGTCTGAAAATAGGTATACCTAAGTAAATATAAAGACCGCTACATTGAAATTTTAATTTATCTGTCGGTGTCAATAAACTAATATGGTTAAGTAAATGTCTGTAGTTTGCTCAGAGTGATGTTCTTATAAAATAATTGCCTTTTTACCTATTTCAATACCATCGACTGCTGATCTAGTCACTAAGAATATATGGTGTGTATTGTATATGTCGTAGCCGGTTAGATCAGCCGTTCAATTGGGCGGCTAGCTATTTAATTGCATAGCACCATTCATTTACACGCCTAGTTTTCTATTTAATCTTTATGTTATGACATATGGATCGTTCAACGGGCGGGCGGGAGTTAATGTCGCCAAAACGTTCATTTAGCTTTATTATCTGTTAAATAAAACCAAACATATCATGAGACTTACAAAAATGAAATTACAAAAAGTTATTACTTAGTTGGGTGATCGAATTTAGCCTGTTAATTGAAAGGCGCCATTCAATTAAACCGTTCGCCACCGAATTGGACGGCTGATTAAACCACTTGGCTGAGAGAGATATACAGCATGAGCGTTGTAGTGTATTGGCAGAGCGTCTCCTTATAATAAAACATCTTTTAAATGAAATGAACTGAAAATGTCTTTATTGAAGTAAGCTTGTTACAAGCACTTTTGAATCGTCCAAAAAATATTTTACCCATACCACTCGTTCGGGACGTCTTTAAGCTGACAAGAAGAAAAAGCAAAAGAAACTTGCCAGCTCTTTATCATAAGTCACATTTACATAAATCATGTCATTACCTTAATAGTACGTATTATAACAACAATATATACAATTTTCAAAGTCTATAGGTCATAGGTTGGTACATATAATTAGTCGTTATAGAACAGAGCGAAGGCTATTAATTCCATGCATTGCGGTCCTTAAAATAGTCAACAACTTTATAATAGCCTTTACTCATAAGTATGTTCTTTACATGAATTTTAAAATTATTTGCGGGTAGGTCAACTACATTTTGTGGAACTTTATTGAACTGAGCAATGCATTTACCCGGAAATGATCCTCTGGTTTTCTGAAGTCTGAAGCTTGGAACGGCAAGTTTATTTTTATTTCTTGTGTTAAGATTATGAACACTACTTTTTTGTGTGTAGGAATCGTAATGTTTTCTTGCGTACATAATATTTTCATATATGTATTGAGAGGCATCAGTCAAAGTATTTATTTTTTTAACTATTTCTCCGAGAGATGCCCTAGACAGTAAATTATATATAGCGCGGACAGCTCTCTTTTGTAGAAAAAAAATATCTTGAATGCTAGCCGCAGAACCCCACAACAATAGGCCATACGTCATTACACTAAAATATACCAATCTTGCTGTCCGCTACTCAGTCTACTTGACAAATTATTAATATCAGGATCCCGAGTCGTGAATCTAGTGTAATACCAAGGAACTTAGTCGATTCTATTACGATTACGATATAAACTCAATTTTTTCACTATGTTTTTCGTTTTATTTGAATTGAGCTTTAAATCATTATTATCAAACCACTTTAGAACATTGTTGCGAGCATCATTTACATCGTCAAAACAATCATTACCTCTCTTAACTTTAAACACTAAAGAGGTGTCATCTGCAAATAATACTGTCTCGCACGAATTTTTCGTAAAGTAAGGAAGATCATTAATGTAAATTAGAAAAGGCAATGGTTCTAATATCGGTCCCTGAGGTACGCTCATAGTAATGGCTACCGCTCCAGATTTCGCTTCGTTAATTACTACTTTTTGAATTCTAGCAGAAATATATGATTTTATTAGATTAAGTGAATTTTTCGACATACCATAATGCTCTAATTTCCAGACATTGTTTCATGAATGACTAACGCAGTCGAATGCTTTTGACAATCGCAAAATATGCCGCATATTTTTTACTCTCCCAAGCTTATTCAATAAACTTTGGTTCAGTCGAGGTACACTTTAGCTTATACAAATCATACAGACTATTTCGACTTTTGTACATGCCCTATCACTAAATTTCTTCTTTTGGTTAGTAAAGTTAATGGTTTTGAGTTTAAATGTTTTGTCAAATTCTCCATTTATCAAGTAAAAAAAAATATTATAGACATCATAGGTCTACAAATTATATAGCATTTAGGAGAAACATGATGGTGCTCGAAAGTTGCTAGAACGCCGCTATGGTCAGATCGAATACAATTTATTATCGACTTTTAAACACCTTACATTTACATAAAATAAAATCTAAGCAAGTAGCATATGTGGGTGTAATGCGGGTAGGTTCATTAAAAATATTTTCTAAATTAAAATATTTAATCAAGTTCAAAAACCCACTTGATGTGTGCTTACATTTTATTAAAATATCTATATTAAAATCACATATCACTACTTATCAACTTTGCAAACTTATTTCAATGCATCCTCCATAGCAGATTCAAATTAACAGAACATACCTGAAATTAGGTTTCATCCCCTTTTTTTCCCCTTGGGGGTAAAATTGGTAAAAATCCTTTCTTAGGGAATGCTTACGTCATAGTTGCTTTATGCATGCACAGTCTCAGCCCGATCGGTTTAAAATTGACGAAGTTTCATACAAACTGTCATCCCCTATTTTATCCCCTTGGGGGTTAAATTTGATCAAAATCCTTTCTTAGCGGATGCCTACGTCATTACATCTACCTGCATGCCAAATTACAGCCCGATCCGTCGAGTGGTTTGGGCTGTGCGTTGATAGATCACTATGTCAGTCAGTTACCTTTGAGTTATATATATTTAGGTTCATGGTATTTAAACATATTTATAATTCTAGATCTTTTCCAGAACAGCCTTGTATATTTTGGTGAACAAAATTTAAGTAGGTTGTCTTTTCATTGCTAGAGATTTTCTCTATTGTCTTATTAAACAATTTGAATTGTCGAAATTGAGTATTGGAACATATTCCAGTCTGTCTATTTATGTCAAATTCGTTCTGCTCAATTAAAGCAGTAGAGATACCAAATTATTGGCTATTTTTGTAAAATAAAATACCAGCGAGGGTGCTATTTGTCTGTTAAAATATAAAGAAAAATTACATTTATCTCTTGTCAAATATAAATTAAAAATTAATTTGTTTATGTCAATTACAAGATTTTTTTTTATAATGACCTATTTTATTTTATATCATATTTAACTTATATCTAATATTATTTTCCTCCTGTGGCAAAATGTTACCATATGGCAGGGGTGACCAACTCGTTTAGACCCAAGATCGACTTTTCACTGACGACACCCAGTACAATCTACCAATTAATTTACCTTTTAAAATCTAAAATGAAACAGCATAGTTAATACACAATTATGTTTGATTTTATTTATATTTTTTGAATTACCACGATCGACTGGACGAATAGTTGCGATCGACTGGACCAATAGTCGCGATCGACTGGTCGATCGCGATCGAGTGGTTGGCCACCCATGCCATATGGTAATGTAAACATAATAATTTTATTTAAATTTAAGTAGCTTAAGGTATTGAAGTAGTTGATAAGCATTTCAAGACCAGTATATACTCCCCTATCTCTTTTTTGGAGTGATTATAATTTTTAGTCATTTTTACTAAAGAACTTTGGAGCTTATTTATTTTACTATTTAATATGTCAATATTCTCTTGGTAGGTTGTCCTATTTTCATTGATTATAGCACGCCAACTTTCTAATTTTTCTATCAATTGTTTGCGTTCCTTGGAGAATTTGAAATGTTTGTTAATTGATTTTTGTTTATATAATAGTTTTTTGTTTTATTAACATACCTATTTAGTTTTATATATTTTTTCAACATATTCCTACTACACTTAACAACATCTCTTTTAACAGAACACTCAATAGATTCTTCTGCAGTCAAGCCAATTGTCACTGGGTTAATGTTACTTGAGGCAGAAACAAGACTGGGGGCACAACCATCCAACTCATCATTTGGACTCTGGTTCTGAGAGGCCATAACCTTTGTTTGCTCAGATTCCAGTTTATATATGCAATCGTTAGCCTCCTGTAGTTGCTGTTCCAATCTAGAAATGAGCCCAAGGGCAGCCTTCTTATACTCATCTCTGCACTGGTCGAACCTGTCTATTACTAAGTGCAACCTATCTTTCTCCTCAGTTATTTATTACTAAATAATTAATTCAGACAGTTCTTTTTTAAATTGTAATTTTTTTCTAGCACATCCAATAACTCTTATTCATTGTCTCAATCCCTGTAGTTTCAGAAAACTATTACATTTGTCGCGTCGTTAGTCCATTCAGCATGTTGAGTGGGTATAATCATGATTAAATTTAGTAATACTACTTACTATCAATATATCAATACACTATTACTCAGCAAAACTATTATTGACATCATAAATTATTGTGCGTCTTGTAGGTGCTAATCAACTTAAACAATGGGGGCTGTGGGTCGAAAGGCGCCATCTCGCCAGAGTGCCTTTTTCTCGTTATTTGGAAGGTGGTGCCGAGATTTCGTGGTTACCAACAACAAGACGCACATGAATTCTTACGCTACATGCTCGACAGGTAGCATTTTCTATATTTTTATATCAAATATACTAGTTTATTTATTGTGAAAGATTTTTGACTATTTTCAGTGAATTCAAAATAACAAATGAAATTAAAAAAGTTAAAATAATACATAAATCACTGCTTATCCCTATGGTGATGGTATTGACGGGAGGATATCACAAGAAAATCAATACTGTTAATGTTTTAATCATTTCATATACATTCATGGAATAGAATGCTAGAAATGAGTGTGCATATCAGCTCCTATTCGGTTTACATTTTAGTTAAAAATAAGAATGTTGTTTGTGAAACGTTGTATTTTTGATATTTACACAGACTACATACAGAACTACAACAGTTATTACCACCAGATCGCGCTGAAGTGGGCTTTGTTTCTCGTACACCCTCAGCCTCCATTGTCACAGCGGTATTCGGTGGAACTTTACAAAGTGAGGTAAGTATGTTAAATTGCGTAATACTACCCCTGTGATTCTATTATAAGTATTAATATTGCTTAAGATTAGGCTGTATGGGAAAGATTCCTTTGCTGGATAAAAAGATTACACTAGGAGGTGGTGTCTTCGCTAATCGACAGAGGTGGACTCAGTTAATATAATTTATCAGCTATTGTTCAAGGCAATTTTATCGATATTTCATATTATTGTTGGCAAATTATAACACTATCATGTTGTACTCTTCATATCACACTTTATTGCAGGTGCGATGTCTGGCGTGTGGCACTGAAAGCAAAAAATTTGATCCTTTTCTGGATCTTTCATTAGAGTTACCCGAAACTGGCCGCCATGACGACCCAGTTTCACTCACAGACTGTTTATCAAGTTTTGTCCAGGTGAAAATAGATTTTTTTTGTAGGTTTTTAAGGGTTCGTGGAAATCTGACGGAAGAGCCGTCGAGCGTATCAACATAAGTATTTAATTATGTTCGGTGCATAGATTCATTGCGAAGCATAGATTATTTCTATCTCTCTAGGCTCTTCTATGATTTAGCGTGTTTAGTTGGTTGGTAGGCATCAAAGTAAGACACTTCTGCCTACTGACAAAATATAGATATGACAATTGGGGATGATGCGTCAGTTCGTCGAGCGATCTTCGATCAGTTTCTAAATACTTTTCGATTCCGTAAACAACTATGATAATAGAAGTAAACTTATTATAATTACAGCATACACAAGAGTGATTAATTTTGTTAAACAATCTCTGTTTTAATAGTATACCCATTACTGCAATTACTCTAAGGTTGTTTGGTAGAGTATTTCTAAGCATTCAGTCTGCCTCTTACTCAATTCATATTAAATAAATTAATGTGCTGTAGGTAGAAGAATTGGCCGATACAGAACGCTACTTCTGCAGCAGCTGTAAGTGTAAGCAGAAGTCAACGAAACAGTTCTGGATACGCAGACTACCTAATGTGTTATGCCTACATTTAAAAAGATTTCGGTGGCGCAATTATTTTAGGTAACAATTGACTTTCTTTTTGAAATTTGTACTGAAAATAATAGTTGGCAGTGCCTGAATTGCATGTGTTTTGAATGTAGATATTGTTGAATGGTTTCGGATATATTATAAGCCAGTGATCTCTTTACATAAAAATGGATGAAAATTTCAGCAGGGATTCCCAAAGTCTCGGTAACCCCGTGATTAGAGCGCGTGCTGGGATCGCTATCGATCGCCGGTTGGTATTCAATATGAGGATTTTTGTCTATGCTAAAGAAGAAAATAAAATTATTGTGTCAAAGTAAATTTTATTAAACTCTAATTCTCAAACTGTTGCAATCATGGATCTATCATTCTTATGTCATCAATATATTATCATACCCATAAATAATAGATAACACCATATACAATTCTAGCACTTGTATTATGAAATCTGGTACAACAAAGTGCCACAATGTGCCACAGTGTAAACCTGTGACATTACAAGAAAAAAGATAATTTTCTATATTGACCTGAAGGGCAATCAAACCCAGGACTTTAAATGGCCGCACATTGAAACCGGCGTGTGAGCCACCCGTTTCAAACTTTGAGATATAGGTACTTTAGAATATCGTTCCTCGACATATTTTTGTATGTACGATGTAGAACTAAGGTGGACACGAGTATAACGTTCCCGCTGCGCGCTTTGGACATGTCGCGGTTCGTGCTGGCCAACGTGCCGGACACGCGCCGCTCGGGGCTCGGCACGCAGCTGTACGACCTCGCCGCCGTCATAGTGCACCACGGCTCGGGGTGAGTCACTCTCTGTACGGAGGGCATACAGAAATATCATCATCATCAGCCCTTTTAAGTCCCCACTGCAGGGGCTCAGGCCTCCCTTATGGATGGTTAAGGAAGATGGGTCATGACCCTCACCATCATCATCAATATCATCATCATCTGCCCTTTTACGTATCCACTGCAGGGGCTCAGGCCTCCCTTATGGATGGTTAAGGAAGATGGGCCATGACCCTCATCATCATCGTCAGCCCTTTACATCCCCACTGCAGGGGCTCAGGCCTCCCTTACGTATGGCTAAGGAGGATGGGCCTTGACCCTCATCATCACCATCATCATCATCATTATCAGCTCTTTTACGTCCCCACTGCAGGGGCTCAGGCCTCCCTTATGGATGGTTAAGGAAGATGGGCCATGACCCTCACCATCATCATCATCATCATCTGCCCTTTTACGTATCCACTGCAGGGGCTCAGGCCTCCCTTATGGATGGTTAAGGAAGATGGGCCATGACCCTTATCATCATCATCGTCAGCCCTTTACATCCCCACTGCAGGGGCTCAGGCCTCCCTTATGAATCGTTAAGGAGGATGGGCCATGACCCAATCCCAATGCGGATTGGAGGGTATTAACGACTGCAAATGCAGCCGGCACCAACGGCTTAACGTCCCTTCCGAAGTACGAAGTAGCTCGAGATAATAATTTTTTGGTCACCCATCCTGTGACCGACCCTTGCGAAAGTTGCTTAAGAACAACGGTCGCGGGCCGCGGCGCTTAACCACTACGCCAACGAGCTACAGAAATCAAATACGTAGTTTAAAATCATGTGCGGGATAAGCTTTGCCCTGCTTTGTTTCGTGCATTAGCTTAAAGATAAAAGTAATACATTATCCTAAGTAATACATTACTTATTTATTACATTGATTCTAATATATGCAGATCGATATTGTAATTCGTATACAAATAATTTAAAATTGTGATTAACAAAAATATTATTCGTTAGTACTGTTAGGTTCTGGGTAGCTTAGCAGTTGCCCTAGTTGCGAAAGGTCATGGGTTCGAATCCCATCTCGGAGTAACAGGGCCAAAGTGGATTTTTTTTTACATTTTTCATTAAAAACTAATTATTATATATCCTTTTCTAATCAAGATTTTAAACGTTTTCATATCACAATATATTAAGTATCGATAAAATTTAATCTATTGTTTATTTATGCTATATCTATTGTTTATTTATTTAGGGCGGCGTCCGGTCATTACACAGCGTTCGCGATCAACGAGGACCAATGGTTCCATTTCAACGATCAAACTGTTCGCGCCACTGACTCGTCGACCGTCGCCTCGTGTAAGCCATACATACTGTTCTACATCAGACGCGAACTCACCTTACCCGCCGCCTCGTAACCGATGCTTTATGCACATGTAAGTGCACATTGTCTGCTTCGACATTACCGATCGTAACACACACGAATTAGACGATCACAGCTCTTTGAAAATTAGTCTTTTGCGTGTTTCGAATCACGTTTTATAGGAAGGTGCTCTCGCCTCTTATGAGAGTGTGACAGAATACTGTTCGGATAATACGGCGCAGTATTAAGATTTTGTAGAATAAAAGGCGACAGCTCACTTAAAATGGTCAGAATTGTGTTCCATTGTTGTATGGTCTATGGCATGTCTGTAGTTCTGTACACGGCTCCGGGTACTTTTACAGCGGCAATTTTTGGTCAGTCTACCTAATAATATAGTAAAGAAGGCGTTGTCAAAGAAGTATTTGAACTCTAAATTGCGAAAACTTATTATCATGTGCAACCTAGAGGCTTGATTTTTAACGAGTACATAAAACGCACCTGTAATGTAACTGAAATATTATTTGTTTTTTTTTTATCTTTTATGAGTTCTTTTTTTTGACTCTATGAAAGTGGAAACACTTTTTTTTGTTTATATTTCACATCCGATATGACAAAAACCACTAACCTTAGTTTTTCTCCGGTGGTTCGCCGTATTATGTATAATGCCATTCAATGTGAATTTATTTGTCTACTTTTCTGTCTTTTTCATTTCCCCACGACGTTAATCTCAGTTTTTAATGTCAGTTTTAGGCGACAAAATAGGACACTTATTTTCCCTATTTATCTAATTTGAACACAGTGGTTCGAAACAACGTGAATGGGTATGTTGATTGTGTTGCAGGAGTACGTATTATAATTAGTAGAAATCTATCGTTAAGACGGTTTATGAAGCCAGTATAGGTAATATTTGTACACATTTTGCCGCGGCCCGTTGATATCATAATGTTTTGAATATCTAGTAGTCGGTTGACGACTGGTGTATATCTGATGGAAATATCGGACCGTATCATGGAAGTATGCGTTAGTGAGCTCAACACTCGGACAGGCATTTCGCACATTTCTGCCAATGTAAAATGAAAATGAAATGAATGGAGAAAAAATATATATTCGTAGAGTGTGCAACTTCGAATGTCATATTATTCCGCGATGGACGATACGCGACGTAATCTTCCGTCAGACGTGCATCGACCGACATTTTGTATTTACGAAACGTACTGTACCAGTAATGTAATCGATAATTGCATAATGCAGGATCGAAAGACTCATCATAGTGATAAAAGCTGTTCGTTTTATTCATGATAAAGAATTATATTTGGTGTAACAAATGTATGAGGCTGATGAATTTTTATTGTGTATTCCAGAGTAAGCAATAGCCGTTCGATGATATAATAGATACCTGTTTAAAATAAATATATATATCATGTAAATTATATTGATACCGCAGAGATACCTACCTCCTTGTAATCACAAGCTAATGATGTTTCATTATTTCCATTCTTTCTTTTAGAAATAAATATAAGCATTCAATGAAGCATACAAATTATGATATAAATAAGGTTTTTTACAAACATTATTATTTATAAACGAAAAAGCGATGTCATTATTGGCTGCTTCATAATTATGGTTTTGCTTTGCGATTTTAAATTTTATGAAGTGATGTTATAACTACTAAGATCCATTGATAGGTTTTAGTGTACTTGTCACACAATCATATTGCTTTAAAAAGGACAACAGACATAAAAAGGACATGGAATTTTTTAAAGACTTAATTCTCTCATCCCGGCAACTATGGATTAAAATGAACTTCAAACATTCTATAATGATTTTTTTCAATGGATCTTACTGGATATTGGGATGAGATTTCAGTTTTTAACATTGGCTTGACCATTATGTAACATGAAATATGTGCTTGAACAAAACACTTTCGTTTTGGAGTCTTATTGATAGTTATTATAAGTATTTGTTTACCGTAGCTAAGGTAAAAACGTATGCTTAGATTAATAAACACAGTACCTTATTGCAACAGTAAAATGCCTTATGCCATCGACTGACAGATATGTTGATAAGTAAGTAACAAAAAGTAATAAAATACTCAATAATGATTAGAGTATTCCATTCTGTTAAATTGTTCTGCAAGATTATGTGATGATATTTTTCTGGACATATAGTACAACTCTTAGATAAAAAGCTCATGTCTAAAAAAATGCCTTCTGATCTAAAAAATGAATAAATAAATTGATAGAACAGATAATAAAAAAACGGAATACTCCAAACAATTAAGCAGTTGTTGATCTTGTATTGAATTCAATTTTCAATCCACTTCACTTAGTTATTGTTTTGTCTGTAAGCTTATAATATTGCAGAAAACGTTAAATTCTATACCTTACCCGCGATGCATTTCGTTAACCTAAGTTTGTGTACGTTACCAGTGATTTGCTTTATATGAAATTTTAGCGTACATTTATACGACGAAAAATATTCGAATAGCCTCTCGCGTAGAAATGTGAATTATATTTCCTACAGAACAATGTTCAAATTCATCGGACTTATGTGTTCACGTGATTTAAGAGAACTTAACCTTTATTACTGAGGATAGAGACATCATATTGCTATATTAACATACACGAGAGCATGTAAATCGCGTTGAGTTTGTCTGTAAAACTACGTGACGATGTCGTATAAATGTGCCCTTAAGATGTACGCATACAGATCATTATTGCATGATAACATTCCTGTGACTAATTATGGGTTTAAGATATTTTCATATTTTTACCGCAGTAGGCAGTGATGTTGCGACCGTTTTGTGAGTAAATATGATGTGATACAAATGTCTTGTACATAATTTTTATTGTCCGATCAACATTAATTCGCAAGTACCTAATTTGAATAGCAGTTTTATTTGTATAAGTACTTCGAATACTGGAAGTCGATAGTGATTGAATTTAATAAATTCGCTAAAATAAATAGTGTGTTTTTATTTACATAAGTCAATAATCCTATTTGCAGCATCTAAAACAGTCAGAGAGACGACAGAGCCACGTGTGTTTATTCGAATTTGTGGCTATGGACATTGCTAGGGACGGGATACTGTTTGCGATCGATCTATATTCATTCCACTCGGCTGGTCTTAGTAGTAAAGTATTTCTAGCCCACAGTCTGTTACCAGCGTTGTTGTTTGGACATGCCAATTTAACATTTTGATCGTTTATTATAGTTTCAATATCAATTAACTGTTGTTCTTTGCTGTCGTCATTATATATGTCCGTTTTCTCCTCACAAATCCAACCATTATTATCCAGTTTATCTATGGGATCGCTGATTTTACCAATTTTGTTAACGTTCTGTTTCTGAATAATTATTTTTGGTTTACGTAGTGCACTTTCATTATAAATATCTTCGTGGTCTGATTTATCATTCTTTTGGCCATCATTAATTATCACATCTTCAGTTTTAGCAACGAAAGACTCTCTTTCTTCGCTTTTACTGTCAGACAAATTGATCTCAGCGGTAGTTTCTATTTTTTTGAAACTCAATTTTTCATTGGTGGATTCTTCAAATTTTCTTCTAGTTTCAAACTCTGAAGGCGACGTTGCAATATTCGTATTATTTAAATTAGTGTGCTTATATCTCCTTCTTCTTTCTCTTGGCGATGGACATATCTGGTTTCCAACATCGGTAGTTGGTGACTTTTTTGGATATGTTTTACAATTTCTGGTGATATTGATAGTTTTGTTTTCACCTCCCAACCAACCGTTGATTAGTTTATGACCGCTTAATGGATTGTAACATTCTGAACTGTCGCTTGATCCTTTAATTAAAGTTCTTATAGGCTCTGTAACTTCCGTGACTGTTGGTAATCTCGGTGACAGTAAATTTAAACGAGGTATATACGTAGCAGGAATGGGAGAGCCAACTCTACGAGGTGTTTCTCTTTTATAATTCTCTTGTTCCTCTTGATAATTTTCTAAAGAACGTGAAGTAGAACTTGTACTCTCTTGACTTGGAACATTTACTAACTCGGATGTATTTTCCGATAAAACGCGTTTGTTTTTGATTGAATATATCCATATTGTACTTTTTTTATTGCCGTCCTCATCCAAAGTTAATATATCGCCACTATGCATTCTATCGCAATCGTTAAAATTGTAATCTCGTGTGTTGGAATACTCAATCACTTCAACGTCGTCTAAGGAAGAATCGGAACTATTGAATACCTTATTTAATACTGTGAAGCAACTATTTTGATGAGTTCTTCTTAAGTTCTCATGAGATCGATCGTTTTTTTTGTAAATATTTGATCTCATATCCGTTATAGAGTCATTGAGGTTGTCATCATCAACAGTGTCAAAGGAACGTGTCATTTGGGAGCTAACCCCATTTTGAGTACAGTTTTTTTCCTTACTTTTATAGTCCGAGTTGAAATGATCGGGTTCGTTCATCGCCATAATGTGCCCATTTACGTTATTCCAGATATGACTATATTTGTCATCGTCATCACTTAATTGACCATCGGAATCATCTGAATTTAATTCTAATATTTTAACTTTTGGATACTCGTCCTGTACCCACAGCTGGTTCATTAATTTATCCGATACCGTCGATATATAGTTCCGTCGATACAACGCTGGAAGAAATATGCGAGCGATAAAGAATTGCAAGAGGAAATCGTCTGAAACAAATTATATTCGTAAACGGGTCTTTATTAACGGTCTTTCGTTGCTGAAAAAAATATGGCGTAGGGTCTAAGAGTCCTTACTTTCAGATTCTACGCCATATTTTTTTATATATTAAGCATCTTTCGTAGAGACCAAAAAATATCTCCAACCTCTCCGTGCTTTAAAAGACATTTAAGCTGTTGGTCGCTGCTGCATCTTTACCATCTACTAACAAAATGGACTTGCGTCCTTATTCCCTCTGGGAGAACATGGTGATAAATGTAGTATTTATTTTATAAGAAAAGTGTAGTTTAAACTACGAAGTGCCTATGGGAAATGACTTTAAAAAACATTTGATTTCAGGGAAACCCACTTAATTTTTTTTTTGTTTCTTAGCATTTGTTATTATAACGGCAACAGAAATACATGATCTGTGAAAATTTCAACTTGAACTATCACGGTTCATGAGATATATTCTGTTGACAGACGGACAACAGAGTTGTAGTAAAAGTGTTTCGGTATTGGATACGGAATTGAATTGATACGTTAAGGCACGTTAAGCCGTTGGTCCCGGCTGCATTTGCAGTCGTTAATACCCTCCAATCCGCATTGGGCCAGCGTGGAGGGTCATGGCCCATCCTCCTTAACCATCCATAAGGAAGGCCTGAGCCCCTGCAGTGGGGACGTAAAAGGGCTGATGATGATTCTTAAATAATTTAATAAGAAACTTACAACCGGAGTCAGGGTGGATCGCTATCAGTGTTGATATTCTATACCAACCCTTCTTTAAGATAATAGATTGCTTTCTATATTTCATGAATTTTAGGTGAATAGCCTGATTATTGACGAAGCTATGCTAACTAGTAGCGAAAGTAACAAACGCTATAGAAATTGAGTCAGTCCTGCTAGATTTCGGTTAGATCAATTGGTAAGAGCGATTGCTTTAATTGTGAAAGAAGCATGTGTTCGAATCCCAGATCGGGCACTTGAGACTGATAATTTGTTAAGTATTCTCATTATATAAATTAATAAGTTAAGCATGATTAATAGCCGGAGGTACTCACGATTCTCATTATTGTATACATGTGACTTCTTCATTTCGATTTCGTTAGTATCTATCGAATATTTTTGTATTATTATCAAATTGTTATCTTTTTACCACATTATAGGTACCTAAGTACTTATGCACAAGATAAATAAACACGAATAAATAAAATGCTAGTAACCTTTCTTTTAATTATGACACGGACGTCATTTAAGACAGACAGGCCAATTTTTTTGTATTTTTAATTTGGTTTATCTATGCTGTAAAAAACCTTATTCAGACTCACACAGTGAGTTTTCACCACCTATTTATTCGTACTGGTTCCTAGATATTTCTATTGTTTACAAAAAATGGTAAATTTCAAATACAATATGTACGAATATATATTCGTATATTCGTAAGCGTTAGCACTGCAAAATAATTCTATAGGATAAACTATACAGTTTCGATAATATTCACTCTATACTTTGCTGATGAATTGTACCTGGTAGTGTAGGTAGGTATGCATGTATGTAGTATGTACATACTCAGTAGACCTCTGTAGTTACAGTCCAGAGACGGATTTGCAGGCTTGGCTGTCCTAGGCCATGTAATACCGCCCATGTTTTTGCTCTCATACTTTAGAGACTGCATATGAATATTATTACTGAAAACATTTAATGCAATAAATTCAAAACTTTATTTGTGTTTATATCCCAATGAACTAATGTAATTTCTTAATGTTAACATCTGTTGGTAATGTTATGCATGCCCAGAACACAATTACTGATATGCAGGATAAATAAATAATTATAAAAATACAATAGTAAGAATAGAAAAAACCAACAACAGATATTGTTTTGAACTGCTACAAAGTGGAATATGCGTCATTGCGGAGCAAATTCATATAGGTGTTTTAAATTCAACAATAAATGAAAAAAATCGAAATCTAGGTATATGTGACTGGTTTATTAGCATTTTCATATCAATTTCTAAGGGGTTGTATTGGATAAATAAGTAAAGATAGACCAGCACCCGGTATTTCATCACTCGGCTTTTGACAGACATTATATCTCCTGTGTTCTGGGCACAATATTTTATGGTATTATTGGCCGCCCAAGGACTGAGCCCTTTGTAGCTTTAGTCCGCCACTGTCTACCTATATCACAGCAGTGTGATACATAATAAGTATCCCTTAATTAGTCCGTCAACACCGAGAGCTAGAACTTTTTGAAATATACAGTGGAGTTCAAATCAACTATGGTTTGTCTTATTGTGCTAACCTGACATATTAATGTGCGTACATTTATATAAATATATTTATACCGTGCATTCGGAGGTGTCATTTTCAGTAAACATATTTCCGAATACGCTACGTGTATATGTAGACCAGTTTCAGAAGCCCAGAACAAAAGCTAGTAGTTTTATAAAATATTTTATCTGAGCGACAGGAAATAGAGCGGGAACAATTTTAGGTGTTAAAAGCGTGTCTTATATGCGGTAGCGCGCCAGTAGAGGGTGGTAGTGTTGCGAAACAAAGCGTAAATGGATTGATTGCGCCAATTCGCCTCACAAAGGGCGCTGAAATTGCATTAAAAGCTCCGTGGCCCGAGCCATTTGGAAAAGCACTTACTCCATTAGAAGCGTCCAAATAACGTTACCTTAGTGTGTTGTGTTGAAGTATACTAGAACATTGGAGTGGGAACTTAAGATCATTCATTAAGGATCAAGAGGTCTACTCTTGAAACACGAAATACGGCAATCGAGTTAATATCGTTTTTTTTTTAAATATTTTTTTATCGATGGGTTGATAATCTGTATTCATCTAATGACGTATTTATACTGGCTGATGACATCCGCATGCGTCGTGCGGGCGTTTATTGACCAATGAGATATGTGCGCAGACGTCGCACCCACTCCGTGAGCTCAGTCCATCGACTAATGTAAACTAGCCATTGGCAAAAATCCTACTTCAAAACAGGAATATGATATTTAATCGGATGACATGTATTTATAACTTTCATTTTTAGGCTTTTAGAAACAAAGTCTAAAAGATTTTTTATACCTGATCACGGCAACTCAGAAATATACCTCAATAAACAATTGTAGATGTTGTGTTGTTCAGGGGCGGCTTAACCTGTAGTGCAGGGTGTGTAATGCATACGGGCGCACAATTAAAGCGATGCGAAGGCGCCTGTCTGCTACAGCTAAGAGCATCGTCTTGGACAATCGTGGTACAACAATGATATGACAGAAGCTGCCAACCAGCGCGGTGCGGCAGTTATCAAACGCGAGCATCCTATGGGCGGCTTCTTTTTCGAACTTTCTGTTTCAACCAGGCCCGTCTTTACCCATGGTGCGGGGGTGCAACGCACCCGGGCACCGCGCGTTTGGGGGCTCCAGACCGATGATCATCGGAAAATTCCCTGTAATGCACCAGAGCACTGCTTGCACCCGGGCGCCTGTTGTGCTTAAGACGGGCCTGGTGTTGTTCGAAAATTAGTAAAGCTGAAAAGCGTTAACCGTTGAAATTTGAATTTTATATTGCGTTTCTTACGATTAATTTCAACATTGATTTAATGGGCCGTGCGAGGGCAAATCAGGGTTCCCAAAAATCCAATTTTTATAATAAATATCAAATTGTCCGGTATTTGATATTTATTCGATTTATATCATGCACATAAAAAGCTGCGATTTTTAAGATGCTAGTGACTTTTTTTTAATATATACATTTTAAATGAAAAGTTGAAAACAAAGGTTTAGATTGGGTAATTTAATATTTGTTTATTTATTATAAAATAATTAAAAAGTAGTATGCGTGCGAGCAACGTATAGGGGAAATTTCTAATAAGTAAGATTGCTACTTTGGGCCAATATTGCCAGCTTCACATCGGATTTGTTATTTTTCTAGCTGAGACTCAATACTCAAACTAACAATAAATATTATAAATGTCAATTGATATACCTATATCAACCGATATATGATTTGCATACATACAAGTATTCATTTACGTTAAGGCTGAACTCAGGCATAATAAGCACTAAATCACCTAACTTATTATAAGTATTATCAAGAATATTGTACCCGGACTTTTTTGATATAATAGGTTAAGCAAATTAGTTTTTTTCGACAGTTTGGTACAAGTGTCAATTCTAAATCGTTTATGTCAATTTTTGCCAGATTCATTTAACTGTTAATGTTGTCATTGTAAAAGCTACACTATCAGTAGCGCGTCACAGCATCGTATAAATTGCAGCCCACCCTAGCTAATTAGATCACGGACGCCTGAGTGGCCCGCACTCATTGCGCGCTAATTCACAAATTAGCCGCCGACAAAGCGAGCTTTTATTCCGCTCCATTGCGACGCCTGATGTGTTTCATCTCTATATTTCACATAATTTATGCTTAGTTCAATATCCGTGTTACATTGATTAAGTTAGTAATGTGCTAGTTTTATCTGTAAAGTGGAAAATTGTTGATTTGTTTTCATTAGTCATAATAAATGCCTTAAGCATATGTTGATAATAAATTACACGTAATTAATTAAAACTAATTTTGAACGGTTTTATTGCGTGTATATTTGAAAAAATATAACATTTTCTTACTTGCCCCAGGAACTCTGAGATGGTACTCGAACCCACGGCCTTTCGCAATTCAAGCGACTGCTCTGCCTTTTTTTCATTAAAAATATTTTCCAGTATAATGCTAAGTTGATCAAATATTATATTTGAACATTTTTCAGACGTTTCGCCTCCTTTACAGCTTTTTAGAAGTTAACTGTTACATTATACACATATTTATAGTGAAATAAACTAACATTGTTTATTTCACTATAAATATGTCTTAAGGGGAGATAGATTTAATGAAAAAACAACTTACATTTTTAATATTTGACTAATT